GCGAAACTTGCTAAAATATTGATGAAATTAAGGTTTAAATTGTTAATTAAACACTGCTCCTCTCCTCTCCCCCTCTCCTCCCCCCCCCCCCTGGCACATTGGCACGTTCTGATGTCCTTGGTCCTTCGTGCTGGTTTGTTTTGCCATTAGGGCTTGTAAGTATTCATTGACATAAGCCGCTGTTGTTGTTGTTGTTGTTCCCAGCATTATCTGTGCTGGTCCTCGCGGACAGGACTTGCTCAATGCGAGCCACATTTAAATCAATTTTAATAAAAAAATCAAGCAAATTTTTGTGAAATTGCCCCATTAAATATATTGTGCGTAGAGTCACGAAGAAAGTGGTCCCATAAAAGCACAGAGACAAGTTGAACAGGAAGGCGGGTAAGAATATGGCATAAGCCCGAATATAAAAGATAAATTAAAAAATAATATCAAGAAAACAACGAAGAGCAGCGACAGTGACTGAAGGACGACAACGAGAGGAGAATTACGCATAAAAAAGCCGCAATTGAGTTTTTCGACCCAACTCCGAGCCGGAACTCCGACCGTGCACAAGGAATACAATTTTCATGCAATATATATGCGTAAATCTCAACAAATTTCAATTCAAGCCTGGCAACAACAACAACAACAAGAAGAAGAAGAAGGCGAAAATGTACAGAACCAAAAAGTCATACATGAAAACGACTGTCAAATAAAAGCGAGTAGAATGAGGCAAAAGAAATGCTCGACTTGAATATACCCTCTTGAAAGCAACGACTATTGTACAGGCAGAGACACATCTAACAAGCTAAGTTTTTTTAAGTACTTATATTAGTATATATGAAATAGGAAGTATTAGCTTGGTATTCGACATTCTGAATTAAATTAATTTCTTTTTTTTAATTTGCATGTACTGGAATATACCCTATTTAATGCCACGACTATTATACAGCCAAAGACTCATTTAATTAGCAGAGTTTCTTATGAGTACTATATATTAGTGAAATAGAAAGTATTCGATTGGCTTTAGATATTTTGAATTAAATTAATTTTTTTTCAAATATACATGTATTTAAATATACCCTTTAATGCCACATCTGAGCAGCTGAGTTATCTTATGGGCACTATATATTTGTGAAATAGAAGACATTAGCTTGGCATTCGATATTTTGTATTTAATTAATTTTTTTTTAAGTTTTTATAGCATTGCATATACCACGTTGTACTCTATTTAAAGTGAGTATATGAAAATACGGCGAAAAGCAAAAGTGAAAAAGCACAAAATGTCGGCAGCAGGCCTCATAAAAATGTACACAAATTGCGGGGCGTGAGGGGGGTAAGGGGGCCGTGAGGGGGTGAGGGGGATGGAAGATTTTTAAAGCGCTTGCAATGTTCCATTAGCTCTGCAGCAAAGACTTTGGTTCTGGGGGCTCCACATGCTCCCGGAACTTGCAAACATTTTACGAGCCCTTTTTTCGCTTATGGAAATCAATGCACGCTTATCCCAAGGAGACACACACACACACACACAGGCACAAACAGAGGCACTCTTGCAAGGACTTAAGCAGTCCGTTGATTTACTCGTCGCTCGTGTCTTAAGCCGAGTAAATCCTGCTGCGGATGCTTAAGAGGAAATAAGTTATAATTGCAGACGCCTTTTTATCACTTAGCGAAAGGGCAAAGGCAGATTTTTTAAGTAGCTTAAGATTTGGTCACATAGCCTGTCACCTGCTCCACAATATCTCAATTTAAAAAAAAAAATGGGTTCAATAGAAAAAAGTGCATTGATTATCAGAAGCGAACACCTGCCGCTCGATCCTTACAGTTCTCCTTCTATCTGAGCTAGGCATGCAGTTCTTTTGGTTTTTCTTTTGGTTTTTCTTTTTGGTCTTTTTCTACGTACGTGACACGTTGTTGTTACATGAATTAATGCTGTTTCTCGCCAAAAATTGTACTTGTTGGTTGCTGACCAACTTTGTTAGCAGCTTTTCTCGGCTGTTAAAGAACTTTTTTGTCGTTTTTAGTTTGGTTTTTGTTCCACGTCGTGACAATTTCTCTATTTCGCACTGTCTGTCTGTCTGTCTGTCCGTCTGTCTGGATTTTCCGTGTGTATGGAGCAGATCTGATGCGCGCTTTGTGCACTTGTCAGATGTCGGCAGACAAGCAAAAACTCAAAAAGAAAAACACTTACTCTGAAAAGTAAGTATATAAAGGACATTAAGTGGCGTTTAACAGGACACAATATGCGGTATTGAGGGGGAATCAAGATCAACAACAACAACAGCAACAAAAGCAGCAAATGCGTTTAAAAGCAAACAAGGGAGAAGCGAGCAGAGCAGAGTCCCACATTTATTAGCATAATAAGCACATGGAAGGAAGCAGCGACAAAGGATAAGGAGCAACAGCCTGTATGGAGAAGAAGTGTGGAAAAGTGGAGTCGCCAAAAATTGTTAACTTACTTATCATTTTATGCCGCGTGGCCGTGCGTAAATCCTTGCGCAAGGATTTCTGCTGCGCGCTCTAATTATGCACACACACACAGCCCAAAGACAATATGGGTAACTGTTGCTCTTGCACGGCAAACACTTCCGGCTCACACTAACACACTGAGTTTTGATTTGGAGGGGAGGAGGGGAGGCTGATCGAGCCACCTTCAGTTGCAGCAGCCTTTAAAGGTGAGCGTTGCCAAGGTGAACGCGCGAGAACAGACACAGAAAACGCGCTTAAAACTGAGCTGACATAACCGAACAACTGTGTGCAAGTTGCAGGCTTTTGGAGTTGGTGCTCAGCCCCTCTTCTGGCTGCTGCTACTGCTATTTAAATTGGTTGTGCGTTAAGAGTGCGTTTTGCCGCGTGCAAACGTGCCACCAGGACGAGAACTGTCAACGAACTGTGCGTGCCGAGCAGCTGGAATTTCAACAGGCACACTGTTATACGCCGCTGCCGACGCGTAGCACAGTTTCAGCACAGTGGGCTACAAAGCGACGCACACGGCGTGTGCGCAATTTTTCCCAGCTACCAAAAGAGAGAGCGCGAGAGAGAGAGGGAGAGAGGGAGGGAGAGCGAATCGGTTACGCAGCGAGCAGCGCAACAATTTGTTGAAGAGCGAAGAGAGACGACTTGTTATACGACGTTAGACTGGCAGGCGGACGTCGTCGTCGTCGTCGTCGTCCTGTCCGACGCAAGACCGGAAGCAAAAAGTCAGCGCGATAAGCAACGGCAGCTGCTGCGACCAGGCGAGCTTCTAGCGCCCTTTTATTGCCAATTCGAAAGAAAAAAAAACGAAGACGAAGACGCAGCTCACCTTGACAATTGTGCAGCAACAGGAGACGCCACAGCCAAGTTGTTGTTGCTGTTGTTGTTGCTGTTGTTGCTGTTGTTGCTGCCTGGCCCGCATTAGCATAATGGCATAGAATGGCGCTGAGTGGAAATTGAGTTTAGTTGCCTGCAACTTTGTTTTAGCGCTTTTGTTGTTGCTTCTTTGTTTGCCGTGGCAACTGTGCCTTCCAAATGTGTTTTCTTCTGGGGCAACTGTCCTGGGCAACTGTTGCTGAGTTTTAATGCCCCGGTCCAGTATTCCATAAATATGCATAAATAAGCAGCGAAGGGTTTCAATTAAATTTACTCAAATTGCGGCTGCCTTGTTGTTGTTGTTTCAGCTTGGTGGCCTTTGCCTGGCTGAGGTCAAGAATTTGCATCCGCAAAAATTTCCAAAGAATTTATTTGGGTTTTGCATTTATGATGAGCAGCAGCAGCAGCAGCAGCCAGGGCCATAATAAAAACGCAAATTAAGGCCAAAGCCAAAGCTGGCCAAGACGAAAGTGTTAAAGCACCAAACGATTTCAAAGGCGATTCAAGCGACAACGCAGACTTCCGTCTTGACGCGGACTTGGCCATAAGTCCACGCACAGATCCGGCTCAAATTGCTGCACGCGCAGGCACACACACACACACACACACAGCCGCACACACAGATAGGAAGATGAAGCGACTTGACTTGACTTGAGTTGGCCACGGGCAAACATGAGCTGAAAAGAACATGAAACGTGCGCTGCCTGCAAAGGACGTTGATTACGCAACAGGACTTGTTCCTTGTTCCTGGTCTGCCTGCTGCTGCTGCTGCCACGCCTCCATTGAATTACTCCCGCTTTATACACACCCAAACACACACACACACACACACCCCTCAGATGAATCGTCTTTGGCAAGCTGGCTGCTTGGCTGGGCTATTGAACCGCAACACACCTGTTGATTTGGCTCATCGGTTATTACATTAAATAATGCCCACAAACAAAGACATCTTACGGCTTTTTGTGCTCGCTCTGTGTGTGTGTAAAGATATCGAGCAGCAGCAGCACCAAGTGCCGTCTTAGCCAGATGTTTGTTATAACAATGTCAAACGAAATAATTGCACATAATTAAAGCTCCAGATGGTTGCCTACAATTCGAATTGCTGACTCTATCAAAACTTATCTCTAAGTCTATTGAAATTAAAGTAATTTATATAGACTTAAGTTAGAGAGTACTTTGAACAGAATTTGGCAAATAAACGTATTTAAATTTAAAAGAAACAGCAAAAACAACAACAATCACAGTTTGGATCTAAAACTGTGCAATGAGCTTTCGACAACAGTTGCTCTCAAAGCGGCTTCTAAATTCAAAAGCGCCCTCTATGTGTGATAGTAAGACTAACAATGTTACAAAAGCATTTTGTGTGAAGCTACCAGCCAACAGATGGCGCTTCGCAAAAAATATCAAAACAGTTCAAATTGTTTAGTTTTACGGATAAACAAATTCTCTGTTAACTAAAATGTCAAACATCATGCCAAATCTGGTATGTTTAAATCATGAATTTCTACGTTTGTTGTTGTTTTTTATTATCATCGTTATCTATATATATGTGTGTTTATATATATTTTGTAATTGTTTTAAATATTATGAACTACATTTGAATTGTACAATCTAATTAATAATTAACATTTAGCCCATAATAGTACACAAATATGCGCATAGGTATAGTTAGGTAATATAAATTTATTTGTTATATTTTTTGTTTTCGTTTACGTTTATTTGCCTAGCAACATTTACATTTACTTAGATTAATATTTTATGAATTACATTCAATTTGTTTGTTTGTTTGTTTGTGTGTTTTGATTAACTTGTATGATTACTATCTATAACAAACGTAAATAGCCCAGTTTCAGTTTTCCATTGGATTAACGACTTTTCACAAAAAGAAAATCTCTCGTTAGCCATTCGGGCCGAGCTATTTGCATACATAGAGTAGTACCAGAGAATATTACGTATTCCATTGCGAATCCTAAGCATAATATACATACATATATGATTTAAAGACTTTGTTTTAAGCATTCTACAAAAAATGTACAAATTACAATTACAATTACACGCATGTAATATATGTGGACAAATATTTTCAATTAAATACATTGGGCATAAATTATTACATAATTGTGCTAATTGGTTTTTTAAGTTTTCATCTTATTATTTGTTTATTTTTTTTGTTTACTTGTCGCTCTTTTAGTTGAATATTTTGGAACATCAATTTTTTGTTGTTTATTTTTTTTTCTGTACGTTTTACGCTTTGTTATTTGTGGTTCACTTTATGCTAAGGGTATTAAAATTAATATGTACATAAAATGACTTACTAACTAGCAAATATTTGCAAAGGGTTGTTATTATTATTGTTGTTGTTGTTGTTGAATTTCTTTCAAAGAAATTTCAATGTAATTTTGCATTTTACTTGTTTTTGCGTTCGTTTGTTAATATGAATTACATTTTCCATGCACAGAGAATTCTACTAATTATAAGCGCTAAACATTGTATATTAGTTTCTATGTCACTATGCAGTTAAGTTTACGCGTTTCTATATGCTATACGTATGTATGTGTGTATGTATGTGTGTGTGTGTGTGTGTATTTATGTGTGTATATTTTAAATTAGAAGCGACCAGATAAATCCTGCAACGAAAGAAAATCAAGTTCTTATAAGTTCTTACAGTAATCGAAATAAAAATGGACTCTTACTGAGCCCATCAACACATCATTTTTATACCCTGAACCCATTGAAAATGGGCAAAGAGGGTATAATGTGTTTGTGCAAATGTATGTAACAGGCAGAAGGAAGCATCTCCATAAACTATATATATTCTTGATCAGCATCAACAGCCGAGTCGATCTACCCATGTCCGTCTGTCTGTCCGTCTGTATGAACGCAAGGATCTCGAAACCTATAAGAGCTAGAGGCTTGAAATTTAAGCTGAAGGTCCTGAAGTGCCCGCGCAGATCGAATTTATTTCCGATATTCGATAACTTGCCCCGTTTCCAAGTAATCGATAAAAATCGATATCGAAATCGTGTTTTTTGAGCAAATCTCGTAAATAATAAGAGCTAGAGTCGCCAAACTTGACATGTAGCTTCTAGAATAGTGTATATATATCAAGTATCTATCATTTTATACCTATCGCCTATCGGGTTCAGGGTATCCGCTAGTCGGGAGCACCCGAGTAGAACCTCTTATTTGTTTGTATTGGAGAGTCCTCCAAATTCCAATCAACACTTCATAAAGGGACAATCAGCAAGCAGCTTCTGCAAACTGCCCAGCAGCAGAGTCCTTGCCCGAATGGGTGCTAATTTATTCATTTAGGCACTCGACACTTGGCGTCAAAATATTCATAAGCGATAAGCAAATGTGAGAGATGAGCCTCAGCCTGGCAATTTTTATGCAAATTGTGCGACTGGGAGAAAAAGAGAAGCCGAAAATGGAAAACTACAAAAATCGGGCGCAAATTGTGTCATAAAAAGCGACAGCCTAAGCATTTAAAACGAGAATTTAGCTGCTTCGCGCTTTCGGCTATAACAATAAATTTTCTCTCAAATTGTTGTTGCTCAGCATAAAAATCAAAACTCAACGCTTATCAGCCGTTTTATTAGTTTCGGCTTAAAAAAAAAGAAGATATATAAATATGTATATATTTGTATATGTTGATCAGGCGCAATTTTTATGGCCAGCAATTGAATTTTATGCGCGCCCTTTGACACGAAAAATATCATAGCCTACTTATGGGCGCCGTCAAATAAGTTTATTGCCGCGCCCTTGAGGGCGCATTCATTTCGCCTGACTGCTTGACTGCGCCTCCTTGCTGATTAGTTGCCACGCCCCCCCCTCCCCCCAGGCATATTTGCACTCGGCACACACTGTAGCTGCTGAATTCCTTTGCCTCTGCTAAGTCCTGCAGGCCTTGCAGTTTATTACAGGCGTGTCGCTTGTTTGCTTTATTACTTATTGCACACACCGCAAGCGTGTGTGTGTGTGTGTGTGTGTGTGTGTGTTCATGTCTGTCACGTCATTATGCTTTGTCCGTGCAACAAGTGTTTCAATCCCGGCGCTTTGTTTGCCGTGTGTACTGGAGTGTGCGTGTGTGTGTGCGTGTGTGTGTGTGGGACAGGCACACAAATCCTTGCGGATCCTTAAGCAGCTTTTGCACAAGCCCTTTCACTTGCTGTCTCGCTCTCGCTCTCGCAGCCTGCTGCTCGTGTCCTTTGCCTGCGCCACACTTGGCAATTGTTTTCCGACACTTGCTTCAAGGCGTCTCCTGCCAAGCTCTGTGTCCTGCTCCGGCTCCTGCCAAGCTCTCCGCCCGTCGAGTTAAGTGTGTGTAAATGTGGTTTCCCCCCCATTTGTGTCCTTTGGCATTTTGAGAGCTTCCTTAAAAATGCTGCTATTCACAATTGCTGACAATTTGTATCATCATTATAAATTCTGCGCTGGCAAATTGATGCCGCCTGCCTTGTCAGTTAGTCCGTCCGTCCGTCTGTCTGTCACCTTGGCTTACGGATAATCAGATTTGCAGTTGCACAATTAGCTGTCCGTCCTGACAAGGAGCAGCGAGCATAGCTGCTCTCCTGGGCAATGCCTGGCTAACTCAATTTATTCCGCTACTCGCAGCAAATTCCCCGGACATTTATTAATGATGCGCGGCCATTAAAATTTAATCAAATGTGCCCCGAAAAAAATACAAAAAGGCGCACAAAAATAGTAAAGTGGTCGACAAAACTTCTTGACTTGACTTTCTTGAATTATTAAGCGAGTTGCGGGCGAAGTTGCAACACCTCGAGAAATGGAAACTTAACGAAAAAACTTTTCGATCTAGACCCCTCCCCCCTTCCCCCACGCTGCCTAGGAGTAGGCCTCCGAATGTCAACCTCAATGTGAGGCTTTTCTTTTTTCTTTTAACATTCTTTTTTTTTTCCACTAATAAATTGGCCCAAAATGCTTTTGTGTTTCACGCGCGCTTTCACCGGGGCAACCAAAGGCAGCAACAGCGGGTCCACCCTCCCCCCTCCACCCTCCTCTGCCTTGCCCCACAGCAGCAGCTGCAGCCATAATTTGTGCGACTTTATTATGTGTCAAGTGAGTCAATCTGCGGACGACGACAACGACGTGGAAATTGTGGAGCAGCTCACATCTTGCAGCGGCAACTTTAGCCGTTTATTGACATGTGTCGCGCTGGAGGCGGCGGCTTATTAGACAAACGTGTACTATATATATAAATATGTGTGTGTGCGTGCGTGTGTGTGTGTGTCCTTCTATTTTATATTCTATTAAATATGCAACATGCGGCTGGCAACTTTAAAGCATGCCACAGCATTTTGCCCGCATTTGCATAATAAATTCTAAATTCCAGATATGAGAAATACTTTCCTAAGTAGATCTGTCAGTTGGACGGAATTATGAACAAAAAAAAAAAAAAACCAAAAAAAAAAAGTGTAAGATGGATAAATGGAAAAAATGGAAATCGCGCCTCGAATTGTTGGCTGCAATTCAAATTATTCACTCAAATGAAGCGACGGCGACGGCGGCGGCCAAACACAAAAGTTTTTGCACTTGGCATAAATTTCCACCAATCCCCCCCTACCCCTCTCCTACCCCGCCCCCTCCCCCTGGCACGCTGCTTGCCCCATGACAAAGACGATTTGATTTTATTTTATTAGCACATCACACGATTGGCGCCACAACTTGACAAAGTTTCAACTTTGTCCTGGCGCTGGCTACCTCTCCCTCTCTCTCCCCCCTTCGCCCCTCTCTCCCTCTCTCTCTATCACCCCCTCCCCCACCCCTTGACAACTTAGTCTTGGGGGATTTTTTTTGCTGGTCGCTTTGCTGTTTTCTAATTGTTGGCTTACACAAAACTTAATGTGGAATTCAATTTTGTGCGTACTGCACCAGGCGCAGGCGGAGGGGCGTGGCATTTCAAAAAGTTTTTCCTGGCACTTCATTGGGTTTTTTGTCGCCCCGCTGTCCACTGTCCCCACCCCTCCCCCCTCTCCCCTCCCCCGCCACAAAACTTGAGCACAAAGCAAAAATGCACACTGACAGCTTAACTGACATTGAAAAAAACCCGGCAACAATTGAAGAGGGAGAAAAAGGTAGCGCAAGTAAAAGCAACGACTATTTAATACCCTGTAATATGTAAAAGTGAACAAAAGAGTTGGCTGGCAAAAAGGAAGGAGCTGAGCTCCTTTTCTCGACGAACTTTGCTGAACTTTGTCAAAGCGAAGGGTTAAAGGCTGCGCACACCTTTGTAAAATATGCGAAAAAAAACTGTAGGTAATTTTTCACTATTAGCTGCACTTAACACGCTTGATTTGAGCGCGGCAAACAGGTAAATAGCCATAGGAAAACAACAACAACAACAGGAGCAGCAGCAGCAATATTAGGGACATAAGTCACCCTAAGGACGTAATTAATTTTTCAGCATTTGCTGTTGCCACACACACACACACACACACACACACACTGAGGAGGCAGGTAGAGGTTGCCTTGACGAATTTGTCCGCCGCGGTCGCCAAAGGACTTGCAAAGGCAGCCTCGGGCCGCTTGCCCAACCAAATTAGCGCCGCCATTACGTGGGCGAAATAGAAGTGGAAAGGGAGGGGGGAGGGGCTGTGAGGGGGGGAGGGGTGTAGTCCATAAGGACACTTGAATGCCGGTGGCCAGCTCTTACATATTTTATGGGCCCCCGGTAAATGGACTTAATTTTCCGCAGCACGCGCCGCTTTAAAGTTTGGAAAATTGAAAAAATATCTAAAATACTTTAAAATTGTTTTTTTTTGCGGCTATTTCTTATTTTGGGGGCGGGGCGGAGGCGCACTTGACATTGTATTATGATAATTGAACGCGTGTAATTGCCCTCAAGACGAAAAGCCAGCAGTCGGCAATTGAAAAGCCAGCACGGAAGGCAGGCATCCAGCAAATGGAATCGCCATGAAAGATTCATGGAGGACAGGCAGGGAAATGGCGACTAAACTAAGGCGATTTGTATATATATTGTATACAAAATGCTTATAAAAACAGGACACGGCACAAAAAAATCAGAGTGAAAAGAAATTTGTGGAGCGTGGGCAACTTGGGGGGGTTAGCTCTGCTCCCCTTCTGTCGTGCTCTGGGTTTTCTCCATATTCATAATGTATCGCTTTATGCGCTGTGATTTTTGACATTATTAACATAATTTATGCATAACTGTCACATTGAATGGCTTTTAGGCTTGATGCTAATTGAAACCGAATCGCAGTCGGAGTCGGAGCTGCATCTACTCACTTTGTAAACTGTTGTGGGGCTGCGGCGAGAGCTGCCTGCCATCCTCCTGCTAGTTTAAAGTGTACACAATATTGTCCTTAGATTAGGGCCCAGCCGCGTCGTCTTCAACTCGATCCGAGCTGAGCTCAACTACCTTAATGCACCCAGGAGGGCGGCGAGGTGACCACGCTGGGCTGTGAGTACTGGACGCGGGCGTTTAGATTTGCCGTCGCCGTTTGTGTGGCCAGTTCCAGGCTGTTGTTGTTGTTGTTGTTGTTATTATTGTTGTTGCTTAACAGCAACTGTTGCTGCTGTTGCTGTTGCTGCTGCTGTTGTTGCTGTTGTTGCTGCTGCAATTGGAGCTGCGCCTGCAACTGATTGAGCTGAACATTTGCGCTGCTGTTGGAGCCGGCTGCGGCGGCGGCGCTGTTGCTGCTGCTGCTGCTGCTGTTTGTACTATTATTGGTTAAGATCACATTGTTGGTATTCGTGTTGACCGCTGCCAGCGGTATATTAATGTCCAGCAGTCCGTCGTATCGCATCTCCTGCTGCAGCAGCTGGAAGAACAGAAGCAGTTGAGGATTGGCTGCGATCTCTGTGAGATGTATTTTGGGCTTACCTCCTCGACGTTGCACTCGAGCCCGCCCTGAAAGTCCTCCAGATTAAATTCGTCAATTTGCTCGCTGTTGAGCGCCTCCAGGCATTGCCCTATCAAAGTAGAGGCGCAGTTATTATCTGTTCAAGCAGCGACAGACATAGACAGTAGATAATAGATAATAGAGGAATAGAATAAGACGGAAAGGAGATGTCTTGGCACTTACCCTGCTGCTGCTGCTGCTGCTGCTGCTGCTGTTGCTGTTGATGCTGTTGAAGAAGTGCAGCATTATCGGAGGAGCCGTCGAGCAGAACGTTGCTGTATGTGTTGAGGGAGTCGGACGAGGGCTCGCTATTGGGATACGCAGGCGACATTGTGGTGGTAACTGAGTTGGGCGACAGGCCCTGCCAAGAGAGGAGTAGGAGAAACAATTGGCAATTTAAGGAGATTGAACTTTGTTGAGGAGGGGCAACTCACATCTCGCACTGGGCCGCTGTGCAGGCAGCCGCAGTTGAGCGAGCGATGCAGCAGGCACTGCTGAGGCTGAGGCTGCGCCTGCGGCTGCATTGTTGCATATCCTGGTCCATTGAGGGAATAGCTTTGTGGCTGCAGCTGCGGCGGCGGCTGATAGGGCGGCGGCGGCGGCTGATGGGTGGGCAGGCCAGATGCGGCGCTGAACCTGCTCCAGCCGTACGATCGTTGGGTTGCAAATACAAAAAACAAACGTTGACTTTATAGAGCAGTTAAATTACAAGTGAGGATAGAGATAGGAATATGTATATAGAATTTGGAGCATGCAAAGCTTGTGAAACGAACGTATAAAAAAAGGCGGCCCACACACACACACACAGATACACACACACGGACACACACACACAACTGACCCTTGCTGCTGCAACATGTCGCTCTGGAGTTTGAGCTCTTCCGCCATGGAGCCGGCCAGCTGGTCAAGCTGCTGGGCCTGGGCCTGCGTCATTGTCGTGCTCTGATAGTCAACCGAGTAGCCCCAGTCGGGCTCGAGATCCAATGCCCGTATCGGACTGAGACGGCCGCAGGAGCTGGCATTCGATGAGGCGCGCTGACGGAAATCGGGCGACAATTGAAAGCCGCCGCTGAACCGCAAAACGATAGTTAAAATGTAAAGAAAAAACAAGACAAACAATACAAAATTAAAAATGTAATCAAAAACAAATGTACTCATAATAAACGAAAATACTCATAATATCCAAATCATAAGCAGCTCAGACTTTTGAGTACTCTACGGATAAAAGGCAGCATTCAAAACTACTCAAAGTGTTTATAAGGATATGCGAAGCACGCGTCAATTGCCAAATCTGTAAACTACGTGAGGATTAAGCGCAGCATGCTCATTATTAAAGCGGGTATAAAGGGTATTATATTTATTTTGGAAAAACAGGAGCCATATTCGAACCGGATCTAGACAAGTCCGTCTGTCTGTCTTCCCTCTGAATAATCAGAGTCTATAAGAGCTAAAGACTTTAAATTTAAAACTTAAACTCAGTTCTCTTCGGGGTCTCATAAATTAATACCTCTGCAGACATTTACCAGATGCATTCGTTTCTATACTAGAACTCTCCTAGAACTTTTGGGTTGCTTATCCAATAAAATCTATGCGAAATAGTAGCTCGTCAAGATTTTTGATTAAGATATATATACAGAAACTTATACTTGGACCAATTGTGTTAATTTTGCCTGTCAGCAAAAAGGCAAAACTTTGTGAAGTTTCATCAGCTTCGATTTTAAAAGGAGAAGCTTTAGACAGACAGACGAACCGAGCTATGTCGTATAAGAACATTATCCTGATTAAAATTATACTTTATCTATGATTTCTTCAAATATCTTGACAAATATCCTGACAAATATATTAACAAAATACTAATACCTCTGGCAGGACTTACAAAGTAATTCAAAAGATCTTATATATTTGATTTCTAGATATCTTTTTTTTTTTTTTTTTGTTTTTTTTATTTTAATAAGTGGTTTTGCCTTTTGCACCATTTGATGTCTTTTGTTAATTCACCATGTTTTTACAATTTAAAAACTTGTTTCGTTATTCTATTTTCTGTATCTAATATCTATCTTGTCTAGATTATGTGAATAAATCGATAGCGAAATATCTAAAGGATCTACTAAATTGCGATAATTGATTGTAACTGAAGCTAATCTACCTGCGTTTTGTTTTCTCAATTGTAAATAGTTACCTGTGAAGCGGACTCTCTGGAAAATGATCGAGCCCCTCGCTGACGCTGCTGCTCGGCGAGGGCGTGGCATCGTTGAGACCAACAACTCCGCCCTGACGCAAAGCCTCGACGCGCTTCTTGGCCCGTCCGCGACGCTTCTCGTAGCGCGATGTCTCCATGGAGGCGGCACGACGTCGCACCGATTTGCCAGGCTTGGCCTCCGGATTGAGCATCCACCAGGACGACTTCCCAGTTCCCTCGTTCTGCACGCGCATAAACCGATTGTGCAGCGACAGATTGTGCCGGATGGAGTTCTGTAAAGGGTGGGAAAAAAGAAACGTGGCAATTAATGAGGCCGATTTGAGTTGGTTTCTGTTTTGCGGAATTTGCAAATCTTTGCGTTTGCGGGTTAAGCAATTCGCCACAAGTCGCGCCGATGTAACGATTTGTAAGCAATTGCGTTAACTTCCTGTTGGGGGGCAACTCGATAAGGATAAGGTCTTGTGCTATGTTTCCTTTTTTCCCGGTTTGCCATTCAATTGTCTGACGACATTTTTATGGGTTTTAGAGAGCGCGCGCACACACACGGTCTCTAATTGGAAGTTGTCTTCACTTGGCTGTCGTTCTTGGTGCTCCGTGTTGTAGTCGTCGTCGTCGTCGTTGCCTGTCGCTTAAGCTGTCAATTCATATTTTATAACAATAGTCATAAATATCGTCATGCGCAACGTAATGACAGCAAATCGACGAGCAGACAGACCAGGAACACAACTGGGAGACTAGAGTCCTCTGACAGGAGGTGGAAAAAAAAACAAGTAAGAGGTTCTAGTCGGTTGCTCCCGACTAGGGGATACCCTGAAGCTTCTTCTTCCGACACCCGATAGGTATAAAATGAAAGATACTTGATATATATAAACTATTCTAGAAGCTACATGTCAAGTTTGCTGACTCTAGCTCTTATTATTTACGAGATTTGCTTAAAAAACAGGATTTTGATTCATCGATTTTTTCGATTACTTGGAAACGGGGCAAGTTATCGAATATCGGAAACAAACTCGATCTGCGCGTGCACTAGGAGGACCTACAGCTATAATTTCAAGTCTCTAGCTCTTATAGGTTTCGAGATCCTTTCGTCCTTTCGGACGGACAGACAGACGGACATGGCTAGATCGACTCGGCTATTGATGCTGATCAAGACTATATAGACTTTATGGGGTCGGAGATGCTTCCTTCTGCCTGTTACATACATTTGCACAAAAACATTATACCCCTTTTCACCCATTTTCAATGGGTTCAGGGTATGAAAAAAGAAGCACAACAATTACACACGAAACACAACCAAAAAGAATCAAACACGTTTAGAGCGGATTTGTCATCGGTTACAATATTTTGGGCGAATCTATATATAGTTATATAAAAAAAAAGGGGGATTTCTCTGCACACTAAATGGGAGCATTACAAGCTAAACTAACCGAAAAGCAAGGCAGCCGCAGATTCCCGAGCTCAACTCCCAACCAAATGCGATGCGTCGCGACTTCAGGCGGCAGATTGGCGCCATTTATCACCGTTGCCACAGCACATGTGTGTGTGTGTGTGTGTGTGGGTGTGGGTGTGTGTGGAAGTACGCCTGACGACTAAACCTGTGCGCAGACAACAGACAGCAGACGACACACGAGAGATTGGGCAGACAGGAGCAACACACATCGCCAGACCTTATAATACTTTTTTTTTTTTGCGAGTCGAAAAACTTTTACTTGGCGACAGTCGAGTCCTGTTGGCGTCTCCTGGCGTCGTCGTAATGACATTTCGGTTTTACACCCACACACCCACACCCACACCCACACACACCCACACACACTTTACCCCTTCTGCTGACTGGCTCTTGCATAAAGTTATCATTTTTATTTAAATGTTTAAGTGCGTCCTTTGGCCCAAAAGCCCCGCCGTACTTAATGTCTGGCATTTGCAAACATGCTTGGCAATAATTTAAGGAGCGAAACGTTTTTATTATGCTAATACGCCTAGAGGAAATTATCTTACAATTCGCTGGACAGGAACCATTCGATTGGCATAACATGCATAAATTAGTTCCGATTAAGCTGCCACATGTCATGGCCAAAGGATTAAGCTGCTAAGTCTATAAATACGTTCCTTATCCTTGTGCTGGCTCCAGCTCGATTAACAGAGATTCAAATACATTCAGCTCTACTAAGAAGCAACATCTTGAACATTACTTGGAATTCGGGAACTTAATCATTTAAGATGTGGAATCAATAAAAGCAGAGAAACGATGCCCAAGTTAAAACGAGAAAGAAGGGCTATCTTCGGCACGCCGAACATTTTATACCCTAGCAGACCCAACCTTTTCATAATGCTCTGCCCGTATCCAAGAAGCACAGAAGCACATGGTTAAAATATCTTGATAAACAAAAAAGTTTTCCATACAAGAACCTACTTTTCGACCGATCGTTCCTATGGCAGCTATGTGATATAGTGGTCCGATATAAATAAGATTTTCGATGAATGTAGGAAACATAGTAAAACTAATAAATGCTGAGTTTGGTCAAGATATCTTGATAAACAAAAAAGTATTCCATACAACAACTTCATTCTCGACCGATCGTTCCTATGGCAGCTATATGATATAGTGATCCGATGTTGATGGGATTTTGCAAATATATGAGGAGCAAGGTAAAACTAATAAATGCAGAGTTTGGTCAAGATATCTTGAAAAACAAAAAAGTTTTTCATACAAGAATCTACTTTTCGACCGATCGTTCCTATGGCAGCTATATGATATAGAGGTCCAATTTAGCTGGTTTAGACATATGTACTGCATGAAACAGAAAGAAGCACTTCTGCAAAGTTTCATAAAGAAAGCTTTAAAACCGAGAGACTAGTTCGCATGGAAACGACAGACGGACATGGCTATATCGACTCGGCTGTTGTTTCTGATTAAGAATATATATACTTAACGGGGTTGGAGATGTCTCCTTCTGTGCGTTACACGTTTCACGACAAAGTTATAATACCCTGTTCAGGGATATAACCAGTTAAGTTTTGACTTGGTAGTTTTAAAGTGCAGAAAGTAGATTTTTTCGTGTCACGCCAGAAAACACGACAAACACGCATCTCTAGTTGGGGCCCTTAGAAAACCTACTACACGAAATGCTAACAAATGGGCATTCATAATTTATGGCACACACTTCATTGAATATTCATAAACTTAAAGCTGGCAGCAAAAAAATTCAATTCATCTAACTAATTGGCGCTATAAACTTGCAAGATATGTGTGTGTACATTATATAGAAAAGACTTCCAGCCGAGTACAAGATACTCCAGTAAAGGCAACCGGCGGTGGCGGCGGGGGTGGGGGGCAGTTGCCAGGGCGCTGCATTATGTGCTAACCAGGGGGGAGAGGAGGAGGAGGAGATGTGCGTATGTGGGTCACACTCCCCCACAAATATGAAAAGAAAAAAAGACTGGGCGAAAAAAAAAAGGAAAAGCGAAAGAAGCAGAAACTATGGCGAAATGGCAGCTCTTAAGGCTTCTCATTGAATTTGCTTGCAACACACAGAAAATAGGCGAAAATTCAGAAATGGGCGAAAATTCCGAAATGGAAATTTAATACGACGTATATGAGCACAAGTCCATTTGTCGCCAAGGATATATTCGCATGTCCTTTTGTGTACACACACAATTAATGTGCACCGAGCGTGAATTACAATGAAACAGCATCCCCCCCCCCTCCCTCTAACTCCTGCCCCCTGCCCCCTACCCCAACTGGTTGCCAGGCGGCTCACAATTTGACCCAGTTATGCAGAACTAGTTGGCAATTACATTTATTAGACACACAGTTTTTATTTATTAGCCTTGATTCTGATTTCTCCATAATTTATCAGAGTAATTGGTTCACAGTTGGGGGAGATTCCAGTTCCACAATATATATAGTATTATATATATGCGAAATCTACCCGAGTCGCGTTCCCATTCAGCTAGCTTTTCTCTGCTTCCGGGAGCAATCAACCCCCGCGACCTCTGCGACCCCACGACCCCGCGACCCCGCGATAATGCGCCCTCATCGCGGCATCATATATGCACACATTTCACATTTCGAGTGGCTTATTGAGCCGCTTGTGGCAGCCACAAATGCCGCCATGTGGCAACATGCAACGCACTCAAGTTGAAGCCAAAGAACAAACATTTCTCACAGTGTTAAAACACCTCAGAGGAGAGCCAATCGAAGGAGATATGTTTCCGATATGTTTCATATATGTTTCAGATATTTAAATTTATCAGACATTTAAATGCAGCTCAATCCGTTATATTATATATATCAGATATGTTTCAGATATGTTTCATTTAAATGCAGCTCAATCCGTTATAAAAAAAAGAACCTGAATTAGACGAATCAAAAAAGGATTTAACTCAGAGCTGAGCCAATCGAAGGATATTCGTGCATAAATCACATATATTTCATTTAAATGCAGCTCAATCAGTTTTATTCATTCAAAAGAACTTGAATTAGACGAATAAAACAAGTATTTGAGATCGTGTTCCGTTTAACTTATGAATATATATATGTACGTATTCTATGAATGGTTTTGCTAAAGAACAAACATTTCTCGCAGTGTACAGTCCCCATGTTAGATAGTCAAACAGGACACCTCTAAGGTGAGCTAATCCAAGGATATTCACGCATAAATCAAATATGTTTCATTTAAATGCAGCTCAATTAGTTTTATTCAATGTCCAAATGAAAAGAACTTGAAACAAGTATTTGATGTCGTGTTCCGTTTAATATATACATATATATATATATGTATATATGTATTCTAATGAATAATATTAAAAATTATACGCAGTGGCAATTGTTTGGGGGGAAGAGGGGGGAGGGGGGGGGGGGGTTGGGACTGGCTCCCAAAAACAGATTGGCAGCAAAATAAAATAAAATTGTCGCTGTCGAGTGAACTAAATGCCAGTTTAGCCGGCCAAAATCAGAATAAAACGGCAAAGCGCAGATCCATATCGGCACAAGCTATAGATATAGATATATTTACAAAGGTGTGTGTGTGTGTGTGTGTGTGTGTGTGCATTGTGCTACTATAAAAAGAAATCGCGCTCGAATGTTAAACAGCTGCGGCAATTCTCACACACAAATCAAATGAACCCAGCGCTGAACCCCAACACACAGAAAAAAAGCACAACAAAAAATAAAGAATAAATGGAGAAAAAAAGATTATTCGCATTTAGATGTGAAATTGAGATATAAATTTTTGAAACGGCAAAACCATGCACAGGTTGTTCAGCTTGCCAC